TCTAAGGAGTTTTACAAAAGGAGCAACACTCTAAGATAGAATATAACAGTTCAAGTCTAACTTTTTTCAGTTTTCTGATTTGTGTATTTTAATTTCAGTGCATGGCTTCTTTACTAAATGTCACAAGAGACAGAAGCTGTCTAATGATTTCTATATATATGTATAAGATTTGAATTGATGTCACCTGTCTAAAGAAGGATGTCAGACACTCAGACACACGGAATTAAAAACTTGTCAACCTCAAAACTTTTGTCTAGATGGCAAATCCTTCTTTTGTCTGGTTCTCAAATGCCTATAAAAGTATACTTAGTGGGCAAAAAAAAATCTTTACATTTTGTTATATTTTCCCCTCTCAGCAGTCACTTCATTCATTCACATCCTGGATGCACAGTGGTTGTGTTTGGCCTTTAACTCATTCATTGTATTTATTTGCAAGCACTGACATGCCATTGCATATCTTCTGATGGGCCAAACAGCCATGCAGTAAATAAAGAGCAGAACTGAAAATTGATAGCAGAGCTACTTCCTGAATTTATGTCCCAAGCAGAGCATGAAGCAGCTTCCCCACTGAGGGATTCTGCTTCTGCTCTCACTGCAGTCCAACACATAATCATATTGATCATCAAAATTTGTCACACATATATTGAAGGATCATTTATGTTCTGAATCATCTCTCCAGCATTTGCTTTGTGGGTTTTGATCTCAACTGGTCACTTATCTTGTCTTGCTATTTATGCCATTCCAATTACCATTTCAGTATGTTTTTTTTAAATTATTGTGGAATATTACTACAATTATCATTATTGTTATTATTATTATAGCTTTTATGTACTGTTATTATTATAACTATGATTATTATCAGTGATTATAACGTTAGCTTCCATCCTTTGGGGCTGTCTGCTCCGGGGTTGGCCAATGGGGTTCGGGGGCCATTGGGAGGCCATCAGGGTGGGGCCCCAACCTCTCCTCTGTACGCCATCATGCCTATTGATTGCCAGCTAATGATATTTTATTCATTTCACTTTAACTTTAGATATTTTTTGTATTTCTTTGTTTTTATAGTTTTTTTTCCTTCTTCATGTCTTTATGTGAGTAAAGCTTAAAACAAACAAACAAACAAATAAAAAGAAAACAAAAAGTCTCTATGATACACAAAGGATAGGGTCTGCATAGTCACATCCCATTTTCCCATGTCTTTTGTCTTATTTTACACTGATAGCTCTAAATAAAATCAAAAGGCCTCAAGTTGGTCTATTTTAGAAAGCAAAATGAGCAAAGGCGTGTGACTTGTGATATGCAAAGCAAAGTGTTTAATCTGCTTCCTCATCCCTGCTAAAAAATAACATGATGTTACAACCACTTCTGATGTATTCATAACTTTGCGTTGGCTTTGTGATTCAAAAGCCCCTAATGATCCCTGGTTTCCTGGTTGAGCTCCCTTTCTTGCTCCATGCTGCCACTTTAACTTTAGTTTGTTTCCAGTTTCAGTTGAACATCAGAACACCACTGGTATTTAGTAGTTGTACTCGAAGATCCAGCAAAATAGAAAAGTCTCTGCAAGCTACTATAGATGTATTGCACTGCTTAATAAGTAATAAAACTAAAACTGTAATAACACATTGGCTTACAGATTACCATCATTGATAATTGACTGAATGTGATAAAACCTACAACTATCACTACATTTTGAATGTGAAGTGTGCATTCTGGTTTTCAATGACAATTGAACAATTTCACTTTTTCTTACTTAGAAAGCTGAAGTTTACAAATTGAACCACAAATTGCTACTGACTCACTAGACATAATTTACCATTTCTTCTCACAGATTAATCATTGAAAGCTTAATCATAGGCTCAGATTTGCTACGTATCTGCAAAGACACAGATACATTTGAAAAATGGAAAAAATCTTTAAAATTTCTTATGCATGTTTATACCGAACTAACATGTAATCTAGACATTGAAATAATTTTGCTAAAATCTCTGCTAAACACACCTTTAAAACCCAAAATATCTGACCATAAAACCGTGCTTTGCATTTTAAATCAGCCTTTGTTTTAGTCACATGTTGAACCTGTCTGGACAAGCAGATCATTGGTGGAACATTTTCCAGCAATCCAGGAAAATGAGAATTGCCAAATGTTAGCTCTTCATCTGAACAGTGATTTCAGTTTTACTCGTCTGGATAAGCTGATCCTCTTTGGATGCTAACAGTTTGGCCATCCTGTGTGGGCTAAGACTGACAAATTTATCTCTTTTTAATATTTTTTTTCTCTCTTTTTGAATTCTTGTGTATTGACATTTTTATTCACTAAAAGACACATTTTTACTCAGGCAAATATTTAAGAAATAAGTATGAAAGTTATTTTGTACAAGTGAAAAAACCTGATATGAAGAGTGACAAAGGCACTTTTGCAGCTTTAGCCAGAAGACCTGTTACATCCAAGATGTGTGCACTGACTCTCTAAAACAAACTTGTAATTGACAACCTGCATCAATTCTGTTTATTAGTGTGAAGACAACTGTCTTAAGATGGCTTTTCAGCAGCCTGAGGGAGCCTGGCGTGTTGTCGTTATTTCCCTGTTGGTCCTAAAAGGCAAACCCTAATTGGATTACTTCAGCACAAATTGGCAGATCTGAAGGCAGTCAGTGCAGCAACCTTTACTGTACAATCATCAAACAAAGACAAAGAGCATTAAAAGAAAAAAATCCAGGTTACCCTCAGGCTTTTAAAGCTTTCAGCAGGTAAAACCTGAAAGGATGAGATTTAGGTAATTAAGACTCAATCAATTCCAGGCACGCAGCATTTTCACAGCAGGAGAGCAGTCCATGAATCAGTTCTATCTGTTGGGAGGCCTCAGTTTGGAGACTGTCATCAAAATACCTCTAGCAGGAAGTAGTTCTAGAGACCAAGCAAGAAAGGGACATATGCTGTTGTTACAGACAATATTTGTTGTATTAGTTTTTAGGCTATATTGACACAGCAACTCAAATTCAAAGTTTTTGCTGAAACGCAACCAATATCTGACTTTTTAAAAATCTCTTCATCTGCAAAAAAATCTGACCTGTGCCACTTCCACATGTGGTACTAAATCGGATACATATCCAGTAGTTTTCAAAGTGTCTGCAGTTTGGACAGTCAAGTTGGATTTTATTGACTTTTATGTCACTGACTCTGCACCAGAAACAGGCAGAAGCCACTCTTGGCTCAGATACGCATCCGAACAGAGTTCTTATTTGAAGCAACCCTCATCAAAAGTAAAAGGTTTATATCTCCTATTTTATTATACAATTCTTCTTATAAGTACACCCTGCTTACATCAAACATTTAGCTTTATACTAAGGAATAAATGATACAACACACACTAAATGTCTTTGAATATTTCATGGACTTTAAATGTGAAACAAAGCTTGCTTTGTTCCCTAGTTATTTTATGCTGCGCTAACCCAAACTGGTATTGATCTTCTCATTTAGCTCTCAGAGAGAAAGCAAATACCTCACATCGTATTATTTGATTCAGGCAATGTCTGCCTTTAGCTTGGGACTAAACAATGTTGAATACATACTGCAGGGAGGAAAACGAGCTAAACCGTTCTTATCAAGGCAAATTACGCGTCAGTCTCCAGATGGTGACACTCGACAGGCCTGATCAAAACAACATAATGGGAGGAAAATATGTTTTTAGTGAGCAACAGAAGATCTGGAAAGAAACTCAGAGGTCATTTTTGTTCTGTCTTCTAATTTTCTTAATGTTTAAAGGAGGTCTGGAAAGTCGACACTCATTTCTGAACTTTTGCCACTTTAAATGTGACAGTAATTCTTAACACTAACTGAAAAAAAAAACATCTGATAGAAAAAAAACATAAGCTGCAATAACACAGTTGTGTAATTCTGCAGTTTAACTAAACTGCAGCATTTGCTTGTACTGTAGGTGTGTGTCAGCCCTTCTATTCAGAAAAGTGCTGTTGGATTGCGAGGACTTTTCCTGTCTGCAGCTCTCTGTACATTTAAAAAACACTTCTTACCAAGTATTCTTTGGTCTCATTTACCAGGGAAATGTCTTAGTACACTTGAAAAAACACTAACTTACAAGTCATTTTTTTTGCAAGATATAGAATCCTGTTTCTAGTCAATAACTCCTTGATATTGATTAAAATACTGGCAGATTTTTCTTTCATTTTTCACTAACAAGACATTTTCGCTGTTGTTAAGTGAATTAATCTGCCAGTGTTGCTAATTCTTTGCCACTGTGCTTTTTATTAGAGGTTGGCAGATCAATCCAAAATGACCTGACACTAGTGTGGTAAGATTGATACTTTCACTTCAGATTCTCTGTTCAAATGTTATTGTATTTATGAATTGTAGTGTGTCAACACTATTTCAACACATATTTCTTCATGTGCTCTCAAAAGATTTTTTACACTTTATTTCGGAAAAATTGCACAGAAATTTGGTTAACTTTTCCATAATCTCTGTTTACCATGTGAAAATGTTAGCATTTTGTAGACACTTATAAACCTTATGCAAATTCCACACTAGAGTTTAACTTAGTAATTCAAAATAAATCTCACAGTAAGATAAGAGATCGAAAGTTTGAGAACATAACAAACTTAAATAGTTAAGTATTAATATCTGCATCAGTATTGGTGATACTGGCTCTGTTTTTACTTGATATCAGAACATATACAGCATAAGGATCAGAGTATGGTGCATCTCTGCTGTTTATATAGTTTTACAATTTATTTTTCACCCGAACTGCTGTGTTTTTAACACAGTATGAAAACTTTTCAGGGCCAGCAACTGTAACAACATCATTTACACCTTTTTTCCCACAGCCTTCTAAATCAAATTTATGTTTGTCCACACAGGAAAAAGAAAAATATAAATGTTTCTTGACCTTTTGATTTTCTAAGTCTGAATAGAAACGAGTTCAGGTGAGTTTTTTTCTCAGAGGAAATGAGCCGTTTCTGTTTAACTGGCATGAAAACAGAGAATTTTACCTCCAGAATGAGGAGGAGGTCCACACAGCAGAACCACTCCTTGACCTTCCCGTACTGAGACAGAACTTCTTCTGTGAGTCTTGAAGTTCTCCAAGTCTGAAAAATAACAATGACAAAAAAATAACAGCAGTTAAGAAAAATAGCCCATCAAGAATGAGTTCAATAACTCTGGTTTGCAAACACTTTGAATCATCATTTTATCCTTCATTGAAAATCACAACACACAACATCTTGCAAGTGCATTCGTACCAGTACTCCAACACACTGATATGCTTTGATCACAGAGCCAACACACACACTCAGGATTTTTTGTTCTATTTCTCCAGCTGGAAGTGAGAAACTGATTCTCTAACAGCTGCAGCTTCACACAACAAAAACTCACGTCCAAATATTGAGGAGCTTTTTTGTTCTGCTGGTGATCGAGGCGTTTTAATTAAAAATTCTGTGGGTTGCAGAGAGCTGCTGGTGTTGCCGTAGGTCATATTGTCCCCTTATCCAATATCCCAGACTCACTGCAGGGATTCCAAAAGGATCAGAAGTGAGACAAATTGGGAGCCAACAGAAAAATCTGCAGAGACATGGGAATAACTGCAGGTCTTATGGAAAACGGATCATGTGGTGTTGTTGCGACTGGTCAGCTCAAATCCTACATAGAAAATCTGCTGAAACATATCTAAAAAAAGTGTCGAAGGATATTTATCTTTAATTAAGGCCAAATTATTATGGACACCACTGTATATGGAATAAAAATCTTGCAGTGAAAAATCTCAGGCAGACACAAAGTGTTCTTTTTTTTTTTCTAAAGACGGTAATATGTTGTTGAGCAGGTAAAATTCTTGTATTTTGGAGAGAAGCTGAGAAAACCAGAGCTCAAACTGCTCTAATGCCTCCTCACTGGAATCCACTGAAAAACATTTGAAAAAGGCAGAGGGGCACCATCCACCTATTCCTGATAAGTGGATGGTGCCCCAACTTGTTAGTTTTCACAAAAAGGCCATATTTTTTTTTATAATTTTGTTAACAAACTTTGTTTTGTTAACAAATTGATTGATTGTAATTATTAATAGTTTTTAATATCTAATTAAATCCCTGTTGCCCAACCATAATCACTGACTAGAAGCATCTTCTACCTGAAGTTTCTCCTCCTAAACTCCAACTTCATGAATTTAAGTGAAACTGAAGGCGTTTAAATATTGATCCAGTTGTGTCTGCTCTTCATATTAAATCTTATTCAATTTATTTTCCCCCCATCTTTCTGATTATTTTTTCAGGCAGACGGGTTTGAGGTTCACCATGTACATCAGTCAGAGAGGAGTCATTCATTAATCCTGCAGCTGTCCAATCCGATCGCAGAGGAAGAGTTTGTGATGAGGTCATGCCATTTTAAAAACAGCCTGGGCGGAACCTGCACTTTTGCCGCGTTTTGCATTTCCACTTCATTTAAGACATTTAAAGGTAGTTCTGCACCATTTGCAGGATTTTATTTGCCTCAGATGGCCAGTGTTTTAACAATATAAGCACAAACTGAAAAGCCTCATTAAAACGGATGGACAGACTGGCACTTACTGTTTGCCTACAGGCACTTTAGATGCTCCCCGATGCCGGAACATCCTCCCTATAGTTCTTACCCGAGGTGAGCAGTACGTAATGCCTCGCCTGTGTAATTATTCAGATGGAAATATGGGCAGCACGTAACAGAGAAAACACAATTTGAACCTGTCAGGTAGCTCAGAGTGAAAAGAAACATTTGAGCAAGGAGGGAGGGTGTAAAATGTGGAGAGGACTGACGCTGTGGCCCGTTTCCCGCCTCAGCGACTGTATGAATAATAAATCTGGGCCCAGCGTGAGCAAAACACATGGAGAAAAAAAAAACACAACATGGAAATCAATAGTGACACACACCCACTAATATGAGCCAAACAGCAATCTGCCGCCTCTCTGCTAAGCAGAGATGGCTGCTGAGGCGAGTCACACATGAGAGATTTTAATAGCTCCGCTGGTAATCAGGTTACCTTTCATTCATCACGCCCACCAGCACTGAACATTACAGAGCTGTTTCCACCATGGCCCTAATACCCAAAGTGCTGTTAAACTGAACTAATTTTCTTTTGACAATTGATGGCAGCAGCAGGTCAGAAACACTTTGGGTGGACGCGCGTTGAGCTCAGCAAATGTAACCACCAGAGTCCTATCAATCGGAACCGTTTTAACAACGTAAAGAGATTCAACAGAAAAAACCTGAACTGTGTAATATTTTGTCCTTTGTTAGGACTAATTTTGATGCAAAATAACCTACATTTTTAAAAGAAAAATCTAAATACTTAGCCTTCTCTAAGATCATACACATGACTAAAATCCAGTTCATTTTCGTTACGTTCACACAGCAGGCCCTGATGCTCAATTCCCATTTGTTTTGTGTGCATGGTTAATACTGCTGGTACTAGTTGAACCCGACTGTATTGAGGTGTCTGAGTGAACGGTTCATGACACCAAAGTGGCCCACATGCACACAGTTCCAATGTTAACGTCACAGCAGCTTTCTGTTTACAGAAGAATTAGTGAAAGCCACTGTTTATGGATCCATTTGAAAGTTTATACAGCAGTGAGAGCCGACAGGATAATCACAAGATCATAACAAGACAAAATAAGCCAAGAATGAGGAAGCACAACTCATACTGGTAATTTATGGAGCGTTGATGGAAACCTCATCTGTGTGGATGTGAAATCAAAGGTCAGTGTGGTGGGATTATGGAGTGATGTGCTTCTGTGACACAGATTTCTTTAGTAATTTCATTATCTTAATTTTCAGCTATTGTTTACACCCTGATTTTCATACATCTAGTGTCGTTAAATGCAGAATTATGACACGTTTCACTTCAATGACATAAAATTCAGAAAAAATGACTGCAGACGCCTTGAAAACAATCAGAAAACAAATCTGATTTAGTTTCACATATGGAAGTAGCAAAGGTCACATTTCTGGTGGGTGAAAAGATCAGAATTGTGTTGAAAAAGTTTATATGTGTTGCTTTTGTTGGCTGTGTGAACCTGATCTGTTCGTTTTCAGAAATCAACTATTCAGATGATGTTTGTATTTTGTGGTGTACAAAGAGCAGCGTCCTGAAATATCTGTCAAGTTCGAAACATTCAGCTTTGCTCTGGATTTGGAAGGACCGGTCTTAATATTCCCATTTTTAATGTCATGTTTTTAATAACTATAAGTAGAATAATGATCATAATTAACACAAATGAAGCCTTTTGTCCATGTGAGGGTAATTAATCTATAAAATGTGTTTTTGTTAGTAATAACACTCCTGAAAAAAAATAGCACTTTACATTACTATTCAGATTTCTTATTTTTGTTCAATGTAAATTTATAAGCTACTAAAATAAAAACAAATAAAGATATTAAAAAATAAATATGTTTGGAAAGTACAGAGGAAATGTTTCAGCGATACTTGCAGGTTATTTTTAGCTCTGGCCTGTTAGCCTCATGCATTTTACTGCAGCACATCAACCAGGATCCAAATGTTATTTTTAACTAAGAAGTCTGAATACAGCCTGTTAATTAATCCGCAAAGACAGGTGACACAGCGCCTCAAATTTATCCATACATATTCTACCAAATTGGGTTCATTAACCTTAATTAACCTGGCTCTGCAATATGCTGTGTGTTGTGGAGTTCTGTGTGGTGAGCAGCGCTGTGGGCACGGCGGCTCTCCTTGTAACCTCAGACGTCGCCAAAAAAAACTGCCAGCGGTCCGCTCTCAAATGAGATTACTGATTAGTTCAGCACCAAGTGATCTAAATGTAAAAATTATTGGGCTCGCTGATTTATGAAGAGTACTGCGAGGTCAGATCATGTGTCATGTTGGCCTCAGGCAAATTTCATTATCTGGCAAGTTTCAAATTATTTCTTTGAGCATAAGTCTGCTCTTAAGATTCATTCGCCGTTGAGCTAATAGTTATTCAAATCCTATTTTTTTTTATTGCTTTTGAAGTATCGCCAGATTGATGCCTTCAGGGTCCAATAGGTGTGTCTGACTCTAAGAGGTGACATATTGTTGTCACTTTATTCAGTTTTACCTAAAACTATGTGAGCCTGTCACTATGAGCAATAAATCCGTTCATTGCATGATTGATTAAAATGAACATGGAAATGATCGACAAAGATTAGCTCCCCTTTAATATCACTGAAGAGTCATTTTGAAGAACGCTGCAAACATTCGACACTCAGTATGAAGTGCTAGGTCTCAACTACCTGCCACTTTTACCTGTTTTCCCTGTCTAAGGTGAAAGACTAATCATTTCCTTCATAATCCATTTTATTTATTACTGTCTCATTTGTTTTGCTTTATTTTCTATGTATAATGTTTTTCAGTTTCAGAGTTATTAAATGTTCTTTAGAAATGAATAATCTTTAGTTTTTCAGTGGGTGTGTTCGTATTATTGTGCCATTGTTATTATACTGTATTAGTTGAAAATGGTCTCAAAATGATTGTACTATCATTTATAACAACAATTTCTGGTATCATTTAATGCACAGCAAAATTTGTTATCATGATAGCCCTAAAACTATGTTTTAGGGCTATCAAAACATACATACCATGATAGCCCTAAAACTATGTTTTAGGGCTATCATGGTATCAGGTAGGGTCAGAATTTTTGCATCGCTATATTTTATGTATTTTTCTTGTACTTCCTAACCAATGGATATTTATACAGCATCCAGCTTTTATGCAGTTGAATCAAGACTAAAAACCCACCTGTTTAGCGCTGCATTTAATTCATAAAAAATGAGAACACTGATCAAAATATCTGATGTATATTGTTTGATGATCTTGAAAAAATGTAATGTTTATTGCTTATTTTGTAATTGGCTATTGGATTATGTTGCTTTGGTGTAGAGAAGTTTGAATTCCCTTGTTGCTGAAATGTTCACAAGTAAATTAAAGATAAATTAGACTTAAAGTTGATGAGATATAATTGCAAAAGACCAAGATTGACCTTTATAGCAAAACTGACAGAAAGCACATTTGGATGGTTTAACTTGGGGATTACAAACCTCGGAGTACTGCACCAATGGAAATGACTTT